GGTGTCTCTGGAAGAGCAACCCGCCCGGCCTTCGTCCGGTCCATTCAGACAAGTTTGTCAGAATCCTGAATCTATAACTTGGATGTTGCGATTCGGCAAAAGCGCCCTCAATTGCTGCCGCAAATGATTCCGCTTGAACACGAATACGATCGCTCACGAAGGCGTCGTTCTCAGGATGAGCAAGTTTGCGGAGTTTGTGGGGTCTAGCGGACTTCATGGGGTTTCCTTTGGCGGACTTGTGCACAGGTCTCATAAGTTTGCCAGGTAGGTTGTAGTAATCTCTCATAGAAACGACTTCGCATTTACTCGGCAGATCAAGAATATATTCATAGAAGTTGTTGAAAAAGCAATTCCAGCACCTTACACCCGATTGAGGATGTCGCCTCTGCCAATCCCGCTCTTCTCACACATATCCCTGAAAATGCCCCCTTGATCGTACAGGTTGATGGGAGAGTCCAGCTCAGCCACATGGCCCTGATCCATGACGCAAATCCTGTCGTAACCGATAATTGTTCTCAGCCGGTGCGCGATGCAGAGGAAAGTCTTCCCCTTCAGGTTGCCCAGGGTTTGCTGCACCTTCTCGTCCGTGGCGAAGTCTACCGAGCTCGTCGCCTCATCGCACACGATGATCTTGGAGTCCTTGACGAGCGCCCGGGCCAAAGCCATAAGCTGCCGCTGGCCCAGGGAGAAATTGAGACCTTCCTCGTCCACGGGGCTGTCGAGGGTTATGTCGTTTGCGCCCGTCTCGTCCACCAAGCCTGACTTTCGCAGCGCCGACCACAGGTCCAGGTCGCTGTGTTCGTCAAACGGGTCCAGATTGGACCTGACGGTGCCCTGGAAGAGAGTCGGGTCCTGCGGGATGATGGCGAGCTGGGCCCGAAGATCCGCAAGGCCGATCTGGCTGATGTCAACGCCGTCTATCGAAATCGAGCCGCTTGCCAGGTCGACGATCCGGAACAGCGCTTGAATTATGGTTGATTTGCCAGACCCCGTGCGCCCGATGATGCCGATTCTTTCACCACCTTTCACCTGCATGCTGACACCCTTCAGGACCAGTGGTAGCCGAGGGCGATAACGAAGTTGGACATTGTGGAAGACTATTCCTCCGGCATGCGGCCAGTCAGTTGGCAACTGCCCGAGATGCGCCGGGGGCTCTTCCTTAAGACGGTGCCCGTAGTAGTGTAGTCTCTCCGTGCTGTTCATGTCGTTCTGGACCTCCGCCATCTGTCGCACCGCGAAGCTGCAGATATTGATAATCGAGAGCATATATGATAGAACTAGACCGCCGATGCTGGGATGAACGCTGAAGCGAGATGTCACGATGAGAAGACCGATTACAAAGATCAAGATCAGACCGATTGCATCTAGCCGAAGACCGAGCCAGCATTGGTTGGCAAAGGTCAGGAAGTACGCCCCGTCGAAGTCGTCAATGGCCCGCCGGATTGTGTTGACAAAGTGACCCTGCACACCGTAGGCGCGAATCGTCGAATGGCCGTAGATGGCCTCGCTGACTTTGGCTAACACGTTGGACCGTTGGATAGCCTCGTGTCGCTTGATTTCTCGAGCTGAATTGTTGTAATATGAAGTAGCGAACAGGTATATGAGAACCAGGGGTACCAGGGCAGCTACGAAGATGTGGAAGTATGCAATGATCAGCGCGAAGACGGCGATGATGTTCCCAAGAGTCATTAGGTACATTCGAAGAGAGTCGGTCAATTTGTTATCCATCACGTCAACGTCTTTGGAGAAGCGGTTGGTGATCCTTCCGAGAGGGGTGGTATCGAAGAAGGCCATTGGCGCTCGCAAGACTCGGCTCATTGCCATTTGGAACATGTGCCGGCTCGCCTTGGTTCCGAAGATGGAGACGCACACGAAGAAGGCGAAGATGGATATCGCTTGGGCGAATCCGAGCCCTGCGTATATACCTAGCTATGAAAGTGTCAGCCATTAAAAGACATCAGGAGCGGTATGAGACGTACCCAGCCGCTTAGAGTGAGAGGGAATTGGCCGGCAGTCCACCATGAAAGCCATAGTCCCGTGGCGATATACGCAACTTGCGCGACGGTGAGCAAGAAGATGACCAGAGGGGCGATCATGAGAGAGCCTGCTGCCCTGAGATATCCAACATAAATATCCCAAGAAACGGCCTCTACGGCGCGTTCCTCAGCTTGCATGAGAGCAATTTGAGAAGCAGTGGATTTGGAAGTTGTCGTCCTCTCCAGCGTTTGCATGTGAATCTCTTTGTCCGCATTCCGGGCAGGGGGGTCTTCGTCATCGGCGTTCTTTGACTTGTCGTCGGTGGTAGCGGCAAAGGTCATAAGCTCAGCGAACTCGCCATTGTGGTCCATCAAGTTGTGATAGGTCCCGTCGGCCTTTACTCTCCCTCCGTCCAGCCAGATGATTCTGTCGCATTTATGCAGCACATGCAAAGAATGCGTCGCCAGAATTCGGCACTTGTTTGCGAGTAGCCCGCAAATGGCCTCTTCCATAACATGACGGCCGACTTCGGCGTCAACAGCAGATAGAGGATCGTCCATGAGGATGATGTCTGCGTTGAAGTAGATGGCGCGCGCGATGTTGATACGCTGCTTTTGACCCCCTGATACCGTGATTCCACGTTCACCGATCTCGGTCTCGTCACCGTTTGGAAGCATTTTGAAATCCGGGAGCAGCGCGCAAGCTTGCGTGACTCTATCGTATAGAACACGATCGAAATCCCTCCCGAAGATGATGTTTTCTCTGACGGTGGCGTTCTGTATCCAGGCATTCTGGGGGCAAAACGCTCTGGAAGCTCCGAACATGACTGTGCCTGTCATCTTGCGCATCTCACCTGCGAGGGCAGCCAAGAGAGAGCTTTTGCCTGAGCCCACGTTGCCGATGACTGCGACCAATTCTGAGCGGCCGACGGTGAGGTTGAGCTCGGGTAGCTGGAAGGTGTCTTGGCTCATTGATGTGGTGGGGCTTTCTACTCGCTTCTCGTCTATGACTGAGCCGTCAGTTGACCGCCGAGATCGCGTTTGTTCCCAGGTAAACGTCGCGTCCCTGATGACTATGGCGTTATCATTGCCATGATCCTGGATTGCGTCTTCGCTTGCCTCCTCAGCCAGTAGGAACTCCTGAACTCTTATCACCGAGGCAAGCGCATCAATAACTTGGCCGACCGCCACGGGAAAGATGCTTAAGGGGAAACGCATTTGGTTGAAGAGTGCCAACGAGGAAAATATTGGGGCTGGAGTCAGCGGGTGGTTCCCGGTCGTCGAGTACGTGATGAAAGCCAACATGGACGCAAAGACCGGTATCACCATCCCAATTGATTGAACACCGTCGCGGAGAGCCAAGAGAGCCTGGATCGCCTTCACCTCGTCTTTCCGCACCTTCTCCACCCGTTGCAGGAAGCTCAGCTCCCACCCGAAGAGCTTGATGAACCGGATGGACTGCAAGGCTTCTGAGATGATGCTCACGCGTCTATCCGTGAGCTTATTAATGACGCCACGTCTCGCAAAGAGGACTTTGGTCGCCATGCCGAAAAGGGGCGCGGAGACGAACAAGACTCCAAGACCGGGCAACGCGGAGTACCCCAGGTTGATGAGCAAGAGAACGATCGTAATGATGATGGACAGCGGCGCCGACCAGGCGAGATGGAAGAAGCTGGACGCCTGGTCGATCCGGGATGCGTCGGTCGAGACCAAGTTGATGATTCGTCCGTTGCTCCATCCCTCGTCTTCTGGTTGCTTCTTCTTCTCATCTTCGCTTTCTGCACCTGTGGTGGCTTCAGAATTTGGGCCTCCGGCTTTGGCCCGACCCGATAGCCGGAGCGACTTGGCGAAGATCCTCGACATGAGGATGGCGCGGGCCTCCCCGCCGACTGAGAGTCCCGCATAAAGGAAGTGGTTGGTGCAGACTCCCATGATGCCTTGTAAAGCCGTCATGACAATGACCAATCCGATGCCGTAACCAACGGAGGGCCCTTGTTTCCCATCTCGTTGAGCGTTGAAAGCATCTGTGGCAAACGCGATGATGTACCTCAGGAAGAATGGAGTTATGGCCTGAGCTATGGTAGCGATAAGTTGTAGGATACCGCCGAGAAGGAATTTGCGCTTGAATGTGGTGAAGAGTGCACTGAGAAGAGGACGTGGAGCTTCATTCGCCACGCGCCGGTTGAACTCGCCCTCGAATCTCTCTTCGAGTCCTGGAACAGCTCGGCCAGGGTTCACCAACCACATATCGTTTATTTCCAAAGGCCGTTGGTAGCCAAGCTGTATTACCGTGTTACTCGCATGGTCTCATTCTGGTTTGTGTCAGGCTTACATGAATAAGAGGCGTTAGCCAACTGAATACTATCTTGCTCAGTAGGCCCGCAGACCATTCTCGTGATGGCTGTTCTCGTTGGCCGGGTATCTGCGGAACCACGCGGGACTTCAACGGGTTCAAACGCCTCCGCCATTGGCCGGGCTCTCTAGGGGTCACCGGTTCCACTTCGTTGTTGTTGGACTGGCTGCTCTCCGAAGCAGCAGCGGACATCTCAACATCTGTGATTGGCTTCATGTTGCTGCTTCCTTGCCGTGGGCTGGGTTCAAGTCGACCCTTAGATTGGTAGACCGCGTCGAGGAGAAGCAGTATTAGGATTCCCACTGCGGGAAGTGAGTACCTCCCTACCGGACCGGGGAAAGCGGAGGTCGGATCTGTCTAAGTGAAAATGCCCCTGTTAGCTGAAAAGTAGACTGGGATAGCCCATATTTCAAGCTTTGCGTGGCTGTCAAGAGCACGTAACAAAACCGGCATCAGGCGACTTTTCATCCCTGGAAGCGCGTGGTGACCTGAGTCGTGGTGCTGACTGCACCGCCATTCACAAGTTCGATGCCTTCTACCGAGGACATCGTATTACGGTCGAATCGCCGATAGATCGAGTTATCCAGAAAGGCAGATTCCGCGAGATATCATCAAGCGAAAGCGAGCAAACTGATGTCAACGGATGATGCTTATGGCCGTGAAAACTTGTTCTACATATCTCTCTCGGCCTCGGCCAATCTGTTCAGCTCCTTTTCCAAGGATACTGAAAGCTCGCCTGCAGACGAGTCCTCTACGACCCCTTTCTCCCAGTTTACAGTAATAGACATGTAGCCGTCCTTAGCAGAAGCAAGACAAACTGTAAATGGCGAGCCACTCTTTGAGGCTCCCGCTGAAAACACGACACGATCAAATGCTACTTTATGCTCCTCTAGGCCAGCCACTGATGATATCCCACCGTCCACGACACCGATGTTCGTCACATTGAAGGCGTGCCGTCTCCTTCCACCCAACATGCCCAGGAAGTGCTGTCGGTAGTCGCTCACGAACTTGGTTAGACCAACAGAGAGGTTCTCCGACGAGGAGCTCCTTTGGTGAATGAAATCTTTGCACTCGCTGGCGGCCTTCCAGATCTTGTTGTCATCTGCCGAGGCAGTCTCTGCCGCATATGCAGTACTTGACCGGCATGAGATGTAACCCCACGGCAAGCTTTTATCGGCAGAAAAACAAGGCTCCGCGATCGCTGTAAAGCAACCCATGTCGTCTGGTGAATGCTTCGAGAACTTCCTCAGCGAAAATGGTACTGAGGCGATGAAGCGAGAATGAGTTGGGTATAAGACACCGAGAATTCGTGCCACAAGGACTGTCAAAAGAGCGGTTATGGTCGTTTGATGCTTCCTACAGCCATTCCGCAAGTCTTTTACCACGCTGCGTGGTAAGTAGAAAGTTCGAGTGTTGCTCACCGGAGGGAGTGCAACTTGAATAGGAGGCCCCGACCATTCCAGAGTATCCGTAGACGAATACAAATATGTTTTGAATGCCTTGGTCAACATGAAGAAGGCAGTGAGGGGAAGATCCATAGTCTCCTCCAAGTGAGGGATCAAATCAAGCTTTGGCACCTGAACAATCTCAGGTTTAGAGGAGGTGCTGGGGCTTGTTTTCTCTGACTCTATGAGGCCATTCAGCGCGTTACGGAACGTGCGGTGGAATGCTGCCCCCGACAGCCCATCCCCAACGACGTGGTGGAATGAAAAGGAGAGGGCAAAAGTGGTTACATCTTTCGAATCAGACGACTTGATCACTTCGCAGCGCCATAAAGGAAGGTCCTGAGTCCTGTGAAATGGCTTCTGATGTTCGTCTTGAATCCTGGCGTCAACGGCCGAGAGATCAGCAGGATCTGCCTCGACGAAGTGGACGATCTCTCGGAGATCGATTTGATCGAGTCTTTTGAATGACGGCTGAGGACTGTCTTCATCTGTCAAGGCAACGCCAAGAATAGGATGCCGCTCTACCGTCTTTCCTAAGGCGGTGAAAATCAACCCCCTAATGTCACTATCGACGAGTGCAGGTGTCGTGTTGCAGAGGGTGTATGTGCAAGCCACTTGCACGTTGTTGTAGAACTTGACGAGATGTTGATGGATAAGGAACTTCTCCAAGTTTCCTGCAACTGTGGTCAAAATGAGGTCAATCCACCGGGGGCTTGTGAAATCTCACCAACACCTCGTAGCGGCTTCACCTCCATTTCGTCGTGAAGGTCTGGGAATGGACAAAGGTGTCAACTCAGGTTCCGTGCCCATGAGCTTGCGGGCTGATTTCGGCGAGTGGACACAGATAATGTGCCTATCTCACCAAGAATGACCTCTATGCGCAATTACTAAAGACTGGGCCGTTTGCAGAGTTGTTGATGGGATTATTGCATACACTAGGTACCCCTCCTACGGACTTATGCTGTCCCGTCTCATCCCGTCTCATCCCGGGTCGCCGGCGGCACGCTAGTAAAGAACATGAGTCGGTGTAGAAAGGTATGGTTGGCATTCATTCCCTGGCCTGAACCTCGATTGCCTCCAACTCGTCGGTGTATGTGTCCGACTGCCGTCTTACCGCCTCAAAGCTTATTCTTCGACACGCATTCCTTCACGAGCAACGATCCTTGAAGAAGGCTCATTAATTACAAGTCTTTCGCATGCGCAAAATACTCGTCTGCCTGCTCGGATGCCAAACCTAAGCAAACTTCCCGGCTTCGGTATTGACTCGCCTCGAACCTAGGATGGGACTATCATCCCATAGCCCACCTGTTCGCCAGCCTCGACATCGAATTCATCGATCAGACTGAGGGTCGTCCTAGCATACCTGGAGCCCTGAAAAGTATATTGGGAGCCAAGTGGGTTCGTGAGAGAAGTGGAAAACATGGGAAACGCGTGCGCTTGACGGAACCAGAATTATTTCGGAGGTTTTGATGGTGCACCGGAGATTTCGGAAGTTTTCACAGTGTCGGTTGCCAACCAGGAGCGGCAAGGTACTTTCGAGATGGGTGACAGTATTGCAAAGGGAATCAATTTGATGAATAATTGGTCAGAAACACGCCATTTCGGCACAGTTGATTTTGTGTGACAGTTGACTTTGTGAGTGTGGCAGCAGGCATCGCCAACGATCCTAGAGTCTACCCAGCGCAGGGGCTAGGCACCACATACGTCTTTCTTCGAGTTCCTTCACCATCATCAGCCACCAATTTCTGCTCAGATCGAATTTAATCAACTCCCATAATGGTATACCAACAGCACCATGCATGGTATGTGTTCCCCGTATGGGGTCACATCACCAGTGCCAACGCTCTCATTATCAAGATGCTTGAGGAAAACCCGGCTCTAGTTGTTACTTATGTAACACATAGCCTCGTTGGTATGCAAAGTTTCCAAAATGCCTTTGAAACTCAGGCGACACGGGAGCTTCACTAAACATGAGTATCTGAGGTAGACACCCGTAGATTCCCCGAGTTCCCCAAAGATCGATTCCGTCTCTTGACCTTCGGTGACCCTGAGTAAGCATTCAATCTTCTTAGTTTCTCAAAAACGTCCGGGCTGACCTTCCAACATAGCATCTCCAAAAATGTGGGGAAGAACACCATTGCCGAGGGCATTGCTCAACTATCCAAATGCTGGATAGAGACCCTGCAAGAAGCCTGTGATGGTACACAAGCCTGGCCAAAGCCCACGGCCCTCATGCTGGACCAGAATGGATCACTCCATACTCTACCACAGGTTAGAAACCTTGTCGGACCTGATTGCAAGGTATATATGTACTGGGCAGGTAGTGCCGCACGTCTGTACTCGTTCCTTGCGCCGTCAGGTAAAGGTGGATTTAGCGACTGGGAAAACATTGTCGATAAGTATGTCTCCGATGAGACATTGCGAAAAGGTAGAGAGCGCAGTGAGATCATCGACAAGGTAGGAGAAATACGTCTCTCACAAGCTGCTGCGCCTGCGGACTTGTCCAAGTATGACAGGCACTTACTAATCATCGCTGATTAGGTGTGCATAGCGAAGAATGGGTTTGATGAGTTTAACGGTACGGTTATCTCAATTCCTGGAATTCAGGATATGTACGACTATGAGCGTGAATTCGGCGAGGTTCCGCTGCAAGCAGGTAAGGTCCCTACCTCGGACCTACTTTGCTTGGGGGCCATCCTGATTAACACATTGCAGGCGTATCATCGATGCTCAGAGAGACTGTTAGTCTGGCAAAAGCAACTGATGGCGTGGTGTGTGCCTCTTCCATGGCTTTAGAGGGCGAGACCATTGCTGCCTGCCAGACTTACACGAACGTACATTCCGTCGGTGTCCAGGTTGCACCCAGGGGTTGGTCTAAGAACGAGTTGGTGGTGAAGGACGAGAGTCTGCGTGCTTTTCTCGACAGTCACGGAAAGGGAGAAGTTGTTCTGATCTCATTCGGGTAAGCTTCAACTTCCTTCTACAATGCTCGGGATAACCCATGCTGACTTTCGGCGCTTGCCATAGGTCTCTCGTATTTCCTACAAACAAAGCAAATTTCCAGGCCTTGGTCTCAGCTCTAATCGAGTCCAAGGACCCCTTCGTACTGGTTCTCGGGGGGATGTTTGCAGGAAAAGCGATTGATCCATCAGAAATCAGCCGAATTGACGACAGCGGTGTTGGCCATGTATGCAACAGATGGGTGGACCAACAGGCACTTCTTCAACATCCCTCGATTGGGTGGTTATTTGCACATGGGGGATTCAACTCAACAGTGGAAAGCCTCGTTCAGGGTATCCCGCTCATTGGCTGGCCTCTTGCTCCGGGAGACAACGCCATCAACACGGCGGTTGTTTCCACGAGAAAGAACCCGGTCGCGTTTGAAGTGATGCAGGTACGTATTCTGAGCTGTGGGACAAAAGTCATACATTGAAGACTGACGTGACAAAGATCCGTACTGGCAGTGCTAAAGGCAAACCCAGAAGAGGAGGATCCGACATTGTTGGAACGCCCGAAATCGTTGAACAAGAATTCAGAGATATCCTTACGAAGATGAGGGGTAAGGAAGGAAGTGACAGGAGGGCAAATGCTCAGGCTCTTGCTGAGGAACTGAAGATTGAGAAGGATACTGTAGCCAAGGAGATCGTCTCCAAACTAGCTATGACCTGAGTCCAAGGAATCTTTGGCTGCAGCGGTTTCACTCAGTTCTCAAAGACTCCACGCATAACTTGTCTATCCTATCTGATCATCGTAACCAAGTGAACATGGAGAAACAGGTTTGGCTAATGACATGATGAACTGAAGTTCATTCAGTCTTTTAGTCCTTTCTTAGGCCGAGCCAGATAGGCACGTTGCTGCACAGTGTACACAGTAGGGAAAGAGTAAAGGGCCATCCATTTGGGTTGTAGGAGGTTTCGTGAACTTTAAATGACCCACTGTGTTCACGGAAGTGCTACATGACATCATTTCAGGGTCAGTGATCGAACGAGCATGGGAAGCTTTGCGTTCAGGGGCATCGTCGCGTGGCACACGTGGACGGTTTAGAGTGATCTTATCTCAGAGCTGGAACTTTTTACAGACGTTAACTGCTAATCAGCAACCTTCAGTCGCTCTCAGCCAAGTTTTCAGCACTTAGGGTTGCAAAGATGGCCAGCTCAAACGCCAGTAACAGTGTTCGCTTCAGCCCCGAAAGCTACCCGCCATTCCCGACAGACCTACCTACAGCTCCCATCGAGAAGATTTCCCTGCGGAAGCTTCTAGAAAATGACGATGAAGAGTCGAACAGGCTCTTTGTCGCGTGTCAGAAGCATGGATTCTTCTATCTCAACGTATGCGACCACCCGGAAGGCGAAATTCTTCAGAAGGGCGCTCTCCAGATGGCGCGACTAGCCGAGGAAACCTTTCAGCTTCCACTGGACGAGAAGAGAAAACATCACCAGGCTTATAATGGCAGCATTTATGGCTACAAGAGCGCTGGGGCACAGAAGACCGACGCACAGGGAACGCCAGATACAGTCGAGTTTATGAGCATATCGAAAGACTTCATCGTCAACGATGCGCCCAGCCCGAACCAGAATCCATCCACGATCGTGGAAAATAAAGAGATACTGAAGCCTTTCGTCACGAAAGCCCACGAAACCGGCGTATTTCTACTGACGCTGGTTGGAACCAAACTCGGACTTGTCGAAGAGGAAGTCAAGAATCGACATCGAATCGACCAGCAGTCTGGATCTCAGTTACGACTAACACGAAGTCCACCTCTAGACAAGACGCGAGACATCGAAAGCCAGATCGCTACGACTTCACACACAGATCTCGGCAGCATCACCATTTTATTCAATTGGCTGGGAGGCCTTCAAATGTGGGAGCCAGAGCACCCAGACGGCAGCAAGTTCTGGAGCGCTTCGCGGCTGTCACAAAAGGGCCGCTGGACTTACGTCGAGCCCATTCCTGGTCACGCAATAGTGAACCTGGGCGATGCGATGACCAAGTTCAGCAACGGCGTCCTGAATTCAGGAAAACATCGCGTCCTTCCGGCTCCCGGAGAACAAGGAGATTTTGTACGTTATAGTGTGGCATACTTCGTGAGGCCAGAGGACGACACGGTGTTAAAGGTGCTTGAAGCAGCTGGAATTCCCCAATGGGAAGGTGAAAAGGAACCGGAAAAGACATTTGGTCAGCACGTTTTGGACTTTGGGAGAGCGAAGTATGGCAAGGACTTGGTGAAAATCTTCCAAGAAAAGACCAGAGCAGTGGCTGCGTAGATGTTGAGCACAAAGAGAACTCCAAACCCCAGAGGCCATCATTCTGAAGCTATTGTCTTTGCGCATTCCCCTCCCTACATCACACCATGTGCCTGATTGAATCAGTACTCGCTGCTAAAGAACGATCTACCACAACCCAGGGCAAATCCCGACGACGGTGTTCATCTCATAGCGTCTCACTGCCACCACATGGTTCTACGGACCATGATCCCGTTGGGATGACGAAGCGTCTGATTGGTGATTTGCAAGAGCAGACAGATTCCTTGAATCCGGCGGCAGTTGTCTGGGCCCTTGCATGTGGAGAACCCCCCGACCATGCGCCGGTGACATTTCAAAAACCTCCGGTTGTTTTGGAGGTCAAGAGACCCTGGACGCCGAAAGCATCAATGTCCGGGCTCAGGTACGGTCTCCAAGGATAAGGTCAAACCACTTCTGTCCGTCCCAACTACCCACAAGTGTAACTTTCCATGGCATGGAGGTAAGGATGAGGAAGTCGCAAAAGACCCAGCTTGGTCAGTCGCCTATCTATACCTATTTGGGCAAGCTAGCGCTTTCGGAGCCAGAAAGTCAATTCCAAAGAATCGTAGTGAGAATGCATGCGCTCTTCCATTGCTCACAATCACCACCCCGGGTCCTCTTTCCCTTGTCGCTATGATCGACTCAAGTCTACACCTACCTCGAATTCTTTGCCTTCATGGAGGCGGAACCAATATCTCAAGCTCGGTCTCTATTAAGACAACTTGGTCCGCAATTCCGCTTTGTCTTCACGAACGCGCCATTCATTAGCGATGCCGGTCCCAACGTGCTCCCACTTTACAAGGACTGCGGGCCGTTTCGAACATGGCTTCCGTGGGCTGGTGCGGAAAACATTGCGACGGACAAGAAAGGGGTGATCGCAGCCATTGAAAACAGTTTACATCAGGCCATGGAGGACGATGATGAGAAGGGTGCTACAGGCTCTTGGGTCGGCCTTCTCGGATTTAGCCAAGGCGCGAAGCTATGCGCAAGCTTGCTCTTCGAACAACAGCTACGAGCTCACCCGACTGAGCCGCCGCACCCGAACGAGTCAAAGAGATGCTACAAGGGGTGGAAATTTGCTCTGCTACTCCACGGCATTGCACCGCTAGTAGCACTAAGTGAGGAAGGGGAAGGGGAGGGCATGCAGAACGCTGACCAGATTCTTGGTCTATTTTCTGAAGGATTCAGGTTCGAAGAAGACAAGGCGAAGAGGCTGTTGACAATACCCACAATACACGTTCATGGACTGCTCGATCCTGGATTGCCCTTGGGGAGGAAGCTTCTGAGTGGCTACTGCTCCGATAAGTCGGCTTCTGTGCTTGAGTGGGAGGGTGACCATCGTGTGCCAGTAAAGTCGGACTTCGTGCAGAAAATCACAATAGCAATTTTAGACGTGATATCTTAGATACAAATATAAAAATATTGCATCGTATTTGTGAATAGGTGATCTAGGTGATTGAAGGCGAATTTCCAAAATTGTGGAAGGCTTGCCACGGTTCATTTGAATAACGGATAGAGTCAATGTTCAAACCGTTGTACTTCATATAAGAACTTCCGAAGATGAACAGCGTCTAGAACAGCAGCTCGATTGATCAACCCTTCACCGACACGAAAACACTTCTCTTAACAATCAGAGGCGCCAGAACATCCAGCCCGCCACTGCCCATCAGCTCAAAGATGGTCATCTCCGCACCCATCTCGTTGACAATCCATGACCGCAACTCGATCGCAACAAGAGAATCAACGCCATACGAATGCAGTGGAGCAGAAAGATCAACTTGTACATCTGCTTTGAGTATGTTCCAGATCTTTTGAGCAAGCCCCTGGATGACAACCTCGACTGCTGCCTCAGTTGATTCGGCAGGGCTGAGGAGACGCCGGCAGCTCAGGGTCTCATCCCCAAGATCGCCATTAGCTTGCTCAGAGTTGTCATCTGACGGTCGAAGGTGTATGAAAATGGGGTCTCGCTTCCATAGAGGTGTCCTGCCATTCAGCGATCGAGGATCCTGGAATTTCGGAACACCGAAGACTGCTTGAGACTCCAGAGTAGAGGGTAGCGGAAGGCTAGGATCACAGATTTCGTCGAGGATGTTGTATAGCTCATGGGGTCTCATGGCGTCGAGACCAATGTGCTCCAGCTGCGCTGCTCTGTCAAGACTTTCAGCAACGTAGCCAATTGAACCCATCATGCCAAGGTCGATCGCAACAGCTTTCTGGCCCTTGGAAACTAGATGGCGAGCCAGAGAGTCTTGATAAGTATTTCCAGCAGCATAATTGGCTTCGCCCGGTTCACCGATGAGACCTGCGAAAGATGAAAGAAGGACGAAGAAGTCCATGGTTGATGGCAGCATCTCTTGCAAGTTCAACGAGCCTCGCAGCTTTGGATCAACGCAAGTCATGTAGTCCTTAACCGACATATTCGCGAATAGGGTAGCCTAGTCCAAGATAAGGATCTGGAAAGAAGTAGTAAGATCTAGGATATCCGTACCTTGAGCACCATGGCAGCCTGTATGCAACCCTTGACTGGAGGCATTTTTGCTGAGACATCATCAAGCGCCTTTCTGAGCGCTGCTGCGTCTGTAACGTCCGCTACTGGACAGAAAACCGTGACGCCTTTTAACTTCAGCTCAGTCATTAGCGCTTGAGCTGACTTTCGCGTAGGACCCGTTCGAGAAAGAAGGACCAAGTTTCGAGCTCCACGCTTGGTCATCCACCTTGCGATTCCGCGTCCAATACCTCCCAATCCGCCGGAGATTACGTAGGTGGCATTTGGACTGAATGTCCATGATGCTTTCTGTGACGGTGTAGCCTGGTTGAAGTCAGCTTAACTTGCCTTGACGAGATGATTACTTTGCCAAAGATAAGGAATTTGCTTACCATCACCACGTCGTCAGGTCGTGATTCGAGGACAATCTTTCCGAAATGCTTTCCGGACTGCATGAACTTGTAAGACTCCTGGACTTGAGAGTATGGGAAGACATGAAGTGGCTGGATGCTCTTGATAGAACCTTCAGCAACGAGCTGCATCACATCTCTCATCAAGCGTCCAGCTTGCTCCTTCTTCTCCATGACCAGCATCTCAAGATCGATCAAACGGAAGCTAACGTTTCTGAGGAACTGGTGCATCGGAAGCGTTGCTGCAGCCAGAACATCCTTTTTGCCGCACTCGGCGAAACGGCCGAAAGATGTCAGACACTCCCAAGTGGCACGCAACGCGGCCCCAGATAGTGAGTTGACAGCAACGTCAACTCCCTTTCCGCCAGTCATACGCATGACACCACGGGCAAAGCTCAGGTCGCGACTCGAGAAGATGTGATCAGACGGTATACCATAGGTCTTGACGAGAAGATCTCGTTTATCGAGGGAGCCGACAGTTGCAAAGACCTCGGCGCCCGCGAGCTGCGCCAGCTGAATACATGCTTGACCGAGACCTCCAGCGGCCGAGTGAATAAGCACTGTCTCCCCCCTTTGAATGCGCGCGTAGTCATAGAGGGCCATGTAAGCCGTCATGAAGACGATCGGGATAGCCGCAGCTTCGCAGAAGGATAGTTGAGATGGAATCGGTGCCAAGCAGTGGTGAGGACCTCGAGCAAAGGTACCGAAAAGTCTCTGATGGCAGCCGAAAACACGATCACCGACAGTGAAGGGGGTGTTTGGACCCGTCCGAGTGACAACACCGGCGGCTTCGGCACCGTTTGCGCTGTTTGGGAGTTGACCCAAGGCATGCAGAAGATGCCGGAAGTTTTGACCAGCAGCCATGATACGGAACTCAACCTCGCCTTCACCCAGAGGACGGCTGTAGATATCATCGTCAACGAAGCGCATTGAGTCAAGAAGTCCAGGAGTTGCAACTTCTAACATCAATGCTCGTTCAGGACTGGCTCCAAAGACAGTTGGCTCCGGCCCGGCGTTGCGGCCAGAAAGTGCCCTAGAGCCATTGCCACCGAACAAACCGGAACCAGTGATGAGTCGGGGAATCATGAGGAGTCCATCGTGTTCGCAGAAAGCATTGTCGACAAGAGGGGAAGTGTCAGAAGCGAGAAGCTTCTCATTGACGAACTGCAGAATCGTGTCGGCGGCATGCCCGCAGTCCTCCAAGGGAGGGAGGCTGGAAAGGCTCAAGGTGAGAAATCGAGCTGCATTCTCCATTCTCATGGTTCGCGCAAACCCAAGTACCATATCGGCCGTGGGGTTGGTTGGGGCAACACCCCCTCCTTGAACAACCCACAAGATAGCATGAGCCGATCCGCACATGTTCTTGATTCCGCCGAAAACCTTTTCGTTGGGTTTAGCAAGAACAGACTCAAAGAGCTCCGGAAGGAAGATGCACGTCTTTCGCTCTAGACTGGCTGTGCTCAAATCCACCAACTTGACGATTTCAACGGAAACTTTGGAACCGCAAGATAACAAAGCAGTTTGAAGTCGGCTCGCAAGATGCTGCTGTAACGCACATCGATCGTCAACGATGATGCTAACTGAGTCGTCTTCAGAATGCTCAGTCTCTGCAGGCTTGGCGGTGCCAATCATGACGTTGAATTCTGCGGGCGCGAGACCGTCGTCGAAACAGAGGTCGATACCACCGAAGCCGCTGTCTTTGAGATGCGAGTCCCAGCCTTCAACTGTCAGGAGTGGGCCATCTTTGCGATACTCTTCCGTACTAAGCCACCAGCCTGGAAGCAATCCGAACGAGAAGTTGCCATACGTATCCAAGTTGGTGACCTCAAAGAGTATAAATTTCCCACCGGGCTTCAGAAGAAGGCGTATGTTGCGCAACGTCTCATGGATGCTTCTGGTGGCGTGAATGACGTTGGAAGCAATGATGACATCGTACTGCTCTTGCGCAAAGTCCTGAACCAGGGGATCTTGCTCGATATTGAGCGTGGCGAATCCCATCTTATTTGCAGTGCTCTGGAAGTTCTGCTCGGCTTTGGCAAGGAAGGCAGGTGAAACATCCGTGAAATCATATCTCCCAAAAAGCGGCTTCCCGTCTCGAGTGAGTGCTTCAAGAACCGGACCAGTAGTTGCTCCCGTTCCAGCTCCAACCTCAAGGATTTGCATGTGCGGGTTCTTGTGTGCCAGTGTGCGCATGTAGTTTCCGATGATGGCAGAGCTGTAGGGCCGGTGGTAGATGTTCTCAGCAAGCTGGTCAGTGAAGAGGACTTGGAGCGGATCCCGTGCGCCGGAGAGAATGTCGGGCAGTACCCGTCCAACGCCAACCATCAACCGTCCTCCAGCACTTGAGTTGTCCAGTTTAGTCTCCAGAGCGGCGATAGCCTCGTCGGAGTAATCGAGCTCCTCGCGGTTGAATGTGCGCCCCTCACGGTTGGCAATGAAGCGTTGAGCCCAAGTCAAGTACTTCTGATAATGAGACTTCGTCGAATCAACGCTTTCAGCACTATACGACTCTAAATAACGCTTTAGGTATGCATAAACGAGAGCATGTGTGTCGGAACAGATGGCAGACTCGTTGGGATCGAGAAGCGATTCCGAGATATTGAGTCCCCGCAAAGCATGTTCTTGCTTCAAAAGGGTAGCATCTGGTCTCCAGTCGACGTTGTAGCATGTGTTGGTATCGGATGAGGTCGTTTCGCCGTGGGCGATGGAGGTGCATACCAGCCCCTTGACCGTGAGAAGAGGCTTTCGGGATTGGGGATCAACTCCGATCAACTCCGCCTCAAACTTTCTGGCTCCTTTGTCAATGGTACCAGCAGATAGTCGCATCGATTGTAGCGGAGTGGTTTCATTCTGACTGGAAGCAATCCACATCTCTTTGATCGATGTTGGCACAGCGGCTTGCATGTCGCCCTCCGCGCCACCCCGATGCAGTGCGATAAAGGCGCCCGATATGGCACTGTCGAGGCTTGTAGGATGGATAACGTGGGGGTGAGTAAAACCGTATGGCATGATAGATACCAGATCCGGTGATGTAAGAGTCATTGCTGCCAGGGTAGACGGCCCAACACTGACATCTGACAGGTTTCGGAAAGAAGGGCCATAGCTCAGGCCGGCCAAATCAAAAGCCTCGTACACTTGGTCATGAGTGAGAGGGTCAAGACAAGTATTGTCGGAATCTTTCACGACCTTTACGCAGGTCTCCTCGAACTTCACCTGCTCCAAACCACCGTCCACAATGGTATGGCTCGAGTCGATGTCGACTTGAATCCAACCACGGCAATGATTCCGCCATTCGTCGTTTTGGTAGCTCCAAAGTTCGAACTCACTCCATGTCGCCGACTGACTTGATGTTCCCTCCCAGAGAGGGCGAAGATGGAAGCGGGTTTCGATTCCCTCCGCATCTTCCGGGATATTGAGGGCAGCATGGAATGAGACATCCTTGAATCGGAAACCAGCTAGCTTAAGAGCAGGATCAACCAACTGCTTACAAGCTTCAATGGCCATTACCAGCATTCCGGCAGCTGGATAAAGAGTGCTGCCCGTGATGACGTGGTCTTTGACCCATGGGTTCTCTTTGGCTCGAATGAAATGCCCCCATATGGCATTTGAGGGATTCCAATCTGGAACTGGTGAACCCAGGAGATCATGGCGTGGATGCTTGCGGAACCGATAGTTCTTGCTCAGTCGACTTTCGTTCCAGTAAACTGTTGAATGGTCGAATGGGTAGGCGGGGAGGTCGACAAGCATTTTAAGATGAGCGTTTCCAGCCGTGCTGGAAACCACAGCAGACATGTCAAGTTGATAACCTCGGCAGAACATATAACCTGCCGCTTCGAGGGCCGTGCCGTCGGCTGGACGATTTCTGATGAGCATAGACGTGTAAGTGACGTCCTTGACCCCAGGTGTGATTTGTAGAATGTCACGAATGGGAGACTGGAGAACTGAATGCGGGCCAACCTCAACGAGGAGACCGACTGCTGCTTTCTTTGAAGTTGATGCATCATCCACCGAGTCGGTCATCATAGCTTGCAAGCCACTGCTGAATTCCACCGGTGAGAGCAAGTTGCCAACCCAGTATGCCGGGTCAAGTAGGTCTTGAGTCGTTGCTTGCCTTCCCAAGTACGAAGAAAAGAACTTCGGTACTGATGCTGCTTCTAGAGGAGTCCCTGGCTCAATCGTTCCGATGCTCCTGGCGTATTCCTCGGCAATTGAGTCCATATGAGAAGAATGGTAGGCATTGACGACCCTCAACTTTCGGCCAAAGATTCCATCCGAGTCCAGGAGAGATGAGAGCAGGTCAATTGCTTTGGCACTGCCGCTAATGGTGACGCTCTTTGGGCTATTTATGCAAGCAATCGTGACATGACCCTCGCTGTCTTGTTCGTTGACTTTCTCGACATAAGTTTTGGCCTCTTCTCTTCCAAGACTGACTGCAATCATGGCCCCCGTGCTGATTGTTGAAGACAGACGTCCACGGTGGTAAGCAATCTTCCATGCACTCTCTCGAGAAATGGCTGAAGATGCATAAGCTGCTGCGATCTCGCCAGAGGAGTGGCCGATGACAGCATGCGGTGCTACTGACCAGCTTTGAAGAAGGTCGACGAGAGCAACCTGCAGAGCGGTCACCGTTGGGTGGCTTGAAGCTGGAGTCTCAATGTTTATCTTCTCCGTGTTCATGGACAGCACATCTGTAGTGATGTAAGTAAAGTGAATTTGAAACGGAGTGACTATTGGTAGGTTACCTGTCAGAGACCAAGAGCATCCTAAGCTCTGGAGATACGCATTGGCAGCCTCAATACTTTCCCTGAACACCGTGTATCTCAGGAGCTCGCGTCCCATACCGAGCCATTGTGCGCCTTGGCCAGTGAACACGAGTCCGATCTCGATTTTGGTGTTCGATCGAGTCGGGTTCTCAAGCTCTCTCAAGCGCTCGCAGAGACTTTCATTGTCATTAGCAACCACAGCTGCCCTCCAGTGGAAGTTGCTTCGCTTGGCTGCAAGCGTGTAGCTTAGATCATCGAGGTAAGTCTCACCAAAAGTCGATGATCTAACCTCCAAATGGCGCACATAGGAGTCTGCAAGTCTCTTCACCCCAGCTTGGTCAAACGCTGACAAAACGTAGAGCTGCGGTTTGATTTGAGACTGAGTTCTCGAAGCAGCTAGTCGAGTCTCCTCCGTTTGATAGAGAAGTGAACGGCGTGAAGTAGAGTGTGGCGCTCTCAGCCCGCGGCTTTCAAGATATGAGCAGGCGTCTTCAAGAATGACATGCGCATTGGTTCCTGTAAGCTGATATTAGACACTGATTCCAGAATAATTGCGTATTTTCAGCAATAGGCAACGGCTCACCTCCTATACCAAAGCTGTTCAGCGAGATTCTTCGCGGTGTGTTGTCTGGCCAGGGTACCGCAGTCGTGGGAACTAAGAATAAGCTCTCATCAAGCTGTACTTGGGGATTCCACTTCTCGAACCACAGATTCTTAGGTATGATGCCACTCTCGAGGATGTAAACGGACTTCAACAAGCCAGCAAGACCCGCAGCACCCTCAAGATGGCCTACGTTCGTTTTGACAGAACCGACATACATCGGGTTTTCAGCAGAAAGGCGCTTTGAGAAAACTGAGTTAATAGCACTCATCTCGATGGGGTCTCCAACAGCAGTACCCGTGGCATGTGCCTCGAAGTATCTGGTTGCGCCAGGATCGAGACCGGCTTCGGTGTACAGACGGTTCATGAGGCTCGACTGCGCTTCCGCGGTTGGCATAGTGACACCGGGACTTTTGCCATCCTGGTTGCATCCAATATTTCTGATGATGCCACGGATAGTGTTACCGTCTCTGATTGCATCGGATACTCTCTTAAGGATGATAACGGCGATACCCTCACCGCGGGCGTAACCGTTCGCCTTCTCGTCAAAGCTGTAAGACTTTCCGTCTGGTGAGAGAACTCCAAGATTGCAGAGGTGATTGGTCATGTCAGGGTTGTGAATGAGATTGCAACCAGTTACAATTGCCTTACGAGTGTGTTAGAGCTTCTTACAACACTCACAACATTCACTTGGGTTGAAATTAGCTTCAGAAACTGACCATGGATGATTCCTTGTTGTCCAAGCTCTGTGCCGCTAAGTGGCAGGCTACAAGACTGCTCGAGCATGCAGTCTCAACTGTAAGACTCTGGGCCTTGAGGTTGTAGAACCAGCTGATTCTGTTTGCAAGCATTGGAGCATTCAGTCCCAGTGGAGCATACTTGAGATGTTCTCTGTCGAGATCTTTCAACAGAATGCTTCTGTATTCATGGGTGAATGCACCAGAAAACACCGAGGTGTCGGTTCCACTGACACCCTGTAAAGAGATGCCAGCTAATCGTTCCTCAAGTCAGTAATTATCGAAGACGAGACAACATCTGCCTGATGTCAGAGTAAGTTACCATTTTCAAGAGCTCGATAGGTTCCTTCCAACAGCATCCGCTGCTGAGGGTCTAGGCAATCTGCTTCCGTGGCCATAAACGAGAAGAACGGTGCGTCAAATCTCGATACGTCTTCTTTCAGGAAATGGCCTGTTCGCACACTCATCTGATATGATATTAACTAACGTCGCTATGTGGGATCAAATTCCCAGCGTTCGAGTCAAATACTTACGGATCCGGCCCGAGAAGCATCCGGGTGGTAAAAAGAATCTACATCATAACGATCCTTTGGTACTTCGCCATGGGCGGATCGTCCTTTGGCGAGAAGTTCTGCGAAGCCTGCAGGTGTACTGGCATCGCCAGGAAACGTAAGATCAAAGCCGATAACGGCGATGGGCTCCTGGAGAACCATGATGGGCAGTTGTCTGAGGAACCGCCGAGCTTGTTTGGCTGTTCGAGTGTGCTGGAAACCACAATGGGATGACAGCGATGGTGATGGCCACGACAGTTGTGAGGGCGGAAAGTTCAATGGTGTACAGTAACCTGCGGCTGACGGTCAAACTCGATGAACACTTGGAGATCACTGCAGTGTTATTGCCATTAAGAAATTGGACCGGCTTCACCCCGTCCAAGTCGAATGTCAACAAGCACACCCGGACGTGAACCAGGGTTGAAGGCTCAGTGACATTTGCCCACGTCACAAAATCACCATCATGAACTCAAAGTTACGGGGGTACGTTTGCAGCAAATCCCAGGATCTCCGAGACAAGGCAAGGGGTTCTAAATTAAGCCTTCTCGGGCGAGTTGCAAGTCCCTTTCTCTCCAGGGTCCTGATCAACAAAACCCCACGCGGTCGCCGACCGCAGCTTTGGCGGGGAACGAATGCAACCGCAGCAAAGATAAACTGCAGGGATCACAACTCAATTGAAGACATTCTTCCAACAGCTTCCCGGTAGCAGAGACATGACTGCTGGGGTTTCAGGCAAAAGAGGAAGTTGTATCCATCTCTTGACTCAGCTACCGCTGTACAGATCCGGAAAGACTCTGTAGAGACGAATAACATGCGAATTTCTCTAGATTGCCTTTCACTAGAGTGACAATCCGACTGAGCCGGGTGTGACCTGATGTGACCGGGAAGTAAAATCACCGAACGCCTGGGTTCGGTATTTTGCCCATCAGATAAATGACGGGTGTTGGTCTATTAAAGTTTACATCCCGGCTTCCGTATCCCAATCAGGTCTCTTAAGTAATGTCCTCGTTCTCGGTAAGTCCAATCGACTTTCGAATTGGGAAAACCCATCAATCCTTGCACATACGCGTTACGGCAGTAACAGGCAAGAGTTCGGATGAAAGCCGTCTCCATTATTTTGTAAAGTAACGTGCAAGAACCTAGTGAATATGCTAAGACCCAGCGACAGTCGGGGTTGAAGAGCCGTGGAACCGGGACGAGTGCACGGGATGAGAAAGGTGGATATAAGACACGTATTTTGACGAACCTAGGTTCTGTAAACAGGCTTGAACTACCTTTCCAGGCTCTAGCCAACCAAGCAATCATGGCATCCAATCCTCTGACCCTTCAGAAACGACGAATCAAATCAAGTTCGCTCAGCAACGTTGCCCTGTACTTGATCCATGATGGAAGTGGAACGATAGCCAATTATACCAAGCTGGGCAATCTGGACTGTGATGTCTATGGCATGTAAGGACGCAAAGGAATTGAAAACTGTTATGGGTGATACTGATGTTGGTTGCAGCCAGGATCCGCATTTCGCATCGTCGCAACCATGGGGTGGCGGCGTGGTGGAAATGGCGAGGCACTATGTCTCGCTCATTGAGAAAACAACTCCGCGGGGCAAAGTTGTTCTAGGAGGTGAGTTTATCTAGAACATACCGCGGTCCGGCATACCACATGGTCTAAGACCAGCCCTAACTCGACTCAACAGGATGGTCATTTGGCGGCTTGATAGCGTTTCAACTCGCGTACGAGCTGAGAAACCACACCACGCTACAGGTTCAAGGTGTACTTCTCATGGAAGTAATCTACCCCTCCCTAGCCCAAGCCGAAGACGACGGAAGCGCGTGGCCAGGCCTCTCTGCCATCCGGAGCCCAGCAGTTCGGGAGAAGGTAACGAAGTCCATAGTGCAAAGTGGAGCCATGATGAATGCTTGGAAACCGCCAACGTGGCAGCCGCCGGCGGCCTTACCGGCAGTAGTACTTCTCCGAGCGAAAGGCAAAGAAGTCTCCGAGAACCCACATGCATTGCGGTTCAATTCATTAAGAGACCAGCGTTTTCTTGGCTGGGAAGATTACCCGGACGACCTGATCACTAGGATGTTCGAAATTGAGGGGTCGCATTTGACTCTTTTTGAGCAAGAACATGTGAGTTGTTTCTGAATGGTGCCACTTAGGATAGGCTTTGACTAGCGTTCTAGATCTATTCCCTGACGGCAACGACGAAGCTTGCTCTCCGGTTTTTCGAGACCGAAGCTGGGGTTTGATTAAATATGCTGGACGGCGGGGCTGCGGGGTTGAGATGAATCGAGTTTGTGAACCACCGAAAGATAGAGTTTAGACCCCTACGAAGTTCGGAGGCCGAATATCTGGAGAACATGTGGGGAAAGGTGTGAGTGGGCTGACTGCTTTCATCCGGCATCCGGGATCATCAGGAGATGTGAGAAACCCAAGGACCCTGAAGCTTGGCATACAAGACAAGGGTTTGAGCCTGCCCCTGGGCCCTAGTCAGAATATTCACACCAGGATCGTTATTGTAGAGAGCTCGGCTTTCCTTTAGAATGCCGGGAGACCGGGGAAGAATATCATAAGGTTCTTGACTTGAGTCAGGTTGATATGTGTCTTTGCTCGGGGGAACGCGGTGTTGGCCCGTACCAGGATAGTTACTGTTCAGCTTGCTGTGCTCGATGTCAGAGACAAAGAACTGGAGAGCTTACGTATCGCTGGCATACATGAACTTTGCAACTCGACCAAGTTCCTGTGAGGGATCGCGAGTATTGGGGAACAATCCATCCAGGCCGCAACTCCTTTCTTGCATTTCGACGGTGCAAACATCGCCATCATGAGAAACATTGATCCGAACGGAAGCGGCACCGGGGCCTGTATGCCTGAACATGATCCTGTAGTGATATGTGGCATGGCAATGAGGCTCCCGGGCGGCGTCAGTAACTCGGAACAGTTCTGGGACCTCCTCATCAACAAGCGATGTGGATCGATACCTGTGCCAAAGAGCAGATTCAACGCCAAGGGCTACTACAGCGAGCATAAGCGTCCGGGAACAATTCAATTGAAGCAAGCATACTTCATGGACCATGTTGGTCTCGATCGTTTTGACGCTTCTCACTTTCCTTTCAGCCGCAAAGAAGTCGAGAAAATGGACCCAGTCCAACGGATGCTTCTGGAGATCACCTGGGAGTGTCTCGAAAACGCCGGAGAAACAGATTGGCAGGGCAAAAATGTCGGCTGCTATGTTGGTTCATTCATGGAAGATTGGGGCACGGAAATGGATCGCGATACTCAGCATTTCAGTACCTATCCGGCTGGTAAATGGGACATCATGTTGTCGAATCGCATTTCTTACGCCTATGACTTTCACGGACCCAGGCATGAACGCCTTTCCACATCCGAGCAAAAGCAGCGAATGGCTAACATGTTCCATAGCATGACTGTAAGGACTGGTTGTTCAGCAACACTGGTGGCTCTCAACCTGGCCGAACAAGCTGTGAAAAGCGGCGAGTGTAGCTCAGCTGTTGTCGCTGGTTGTAACATCTTCCTATCAGCAGCGTCAGCAACAAAAGCTTCGTACGGCACTTTGGGCACGGTTCTTTCACCAGATGGTATTTGCAAGACTTTCGATGCGGATTGCAACGGCTATGGTCGTGGCGAAGCTATCAATGCCGTCTACGTGAAAAGGCTCTCACATGCACTGCGAGATGGGAACCCCATTCGGGCCATCATCCGCTCCACTGCGACCCAGCACGATGGTAAGAAGCCGGGACTACTTAATCCCAATACATTTGCGCAAGAAGCCCTCATTCGACATACCTACAACATTGCTGGTATCACGGACTATTCACAGACTTCATTCTTTGAATGCCACGGAACAGGAACGCCTACTGGAGACCCCACTGAGGTTTCTGCAGTGACAAGAGTCTTTGGGGAGAAGGGTGTTTTGATCGGCGGGGTAAGTGGCTTTGTCCCAAAGACAGCTGTCAGTTTTCGGGCGATTCTAACACACCAATCGTTACTCCAGGTGAAACCAAACACGGGACACAGTGAAGGAGCTGCAGCCCTTACCAGCATCATCAAGGTGGTCCTGATGCTCGAACGAGGGATTATCGCTCCCAACATCAACTTTAGCACACCGAATCCTGAGAGTAAGTCATTCGCTGCATGCTATGAGCTACAACCATTAACACCTTCACAGTTCCATGGGCCGATGGAAGAATCAAGGTTCCCACAGAGTCTCAACCATTCCCCTCAGATCGCCGTAAGAGAGTCAGTGTCAATGCCTTCGGAATCGGAGGTACCAACGCACACGTGAGTATTTGGAAAGATCAACCTCAGACGTGCTGCTAACCGAATTAGGCTATTTTGGAAGCATACGAAGGGAATAATGTGTCTAGGTCAGCTCTGACCTCCTCTAGAAAGGGTTCCCATCTGTTGCTCTTCTCAGCGTCGAACCCTCAATCTCTTCATATGCTTGAAGAAGCCTACAAAAAGCATGCATATGAAAGACGTGCTAGTCTTACTGACCTCGCTTACACGCTTGGTTGCCGACGAAGTTATCTCAACTACCGGTCGTTTCTGATTGCCCATGATGGCAGCGATGGACCACAGTTCACGGAACCTGAATCTCTAGGATCAACTACAAGCACGAAAGCAAGAAGAACCGTATTTGTTTTCAACGGTCAAGGAGCTCAGTGGCCGACGATGGGAAAGACACTGATCGAGTCGAACTCGGTTTTCCAGCGATGCATTCGGCGGCTGGACGTAGCACTTAGCCGCTTGCCTCAGCCACCATCATGGAGAATTGAACGTGAGTACTTGTAGAATCATCGAGATGCTGTTTCTTGACCAACACAATTAGATGAGCTCTTCAAGGCGGAAGGTGAAACCCGCTTGATGAAGTCCGAGTTTTCTTTGCCCTGCAGTACTGCCGTTCAAATTGGAATCATGGAGATACTACGAAGCTGGTCCATTCGGCCTGATGCGGTCTGCGGTCACTCGAGCGGTGAGATTGCAGGTGCATTTGCGGCTGGTGCTCTGACTGCGGATGAAGCAATCGTGGTCGCGTACTTTCGAGGGTACATCCCTAAATCCATGGGCACAGCGCGGCAGGGAACCATGGCAGCCATTGGTCTTGGCTCACAGGATGTCTCCAAGTACTTGGAATCAGGGACTTTTGTTGCCTGCGAGAACAGCCAAAATAGCACAACAATCTCGGGCGATGTTGCCGCCATTGAGAATGCTGTGGCCAAGGCCAAAGCTGACGACGTCCTTGCTAGACAACTCACGGTTGATCGTGCCTATCATTCTCGTAAGTAACCATTTCGATGCACTAAAACCTTTCACGATACTGAACGAACTACAGCACAGATGGAGGTCTATGGCAAGGCGTATGAAGAGGCTATACGCCCATTTATCAAGTCCAAGGCGCCAGAGATCCCCTTTTTCTCAAGTGTCACAGAAGAGCGTGTGACGGATGCCGGAGCATTGGATGCTGCCTACTGGCACCAAAGTCTCATCCAACCTGTTCGCTTCAATGGGTCATTGAGGCGCCTCCTGCGAACATATGGTCAAGCCACGAATCCGGTCCTCATTGAGGTCGGCGCTCGCCCAGCTCTGAAAGCTCCCATCAAGCAGATCCTCGACGATTTTCCAAACATCAACGCTTCTTATGTACCAACATTGGAACATCACAGTGACGGAAACGAGAACATGCAAAGGGCGGCTGGCAGGCTATTCTGCGAGAATGTGTCCTTCGACCACCGGGCTGTCACGCCCCCCGGCAAGCCACTCACAGACGCGCCCACGTATACGTGGGCCCATGACGAGTCTTTCCAAGAGGAGCATCGCATTTTCAAGGCCTACAGAGACTGTCAGTTCCCCATGCACGATCTTCTAGGTCGACAAAACTTCGAGACCAGCGCCTTGGAACCAACGTGGCGTAAGGTATTGCAAGTCGAGGATCTTCCTTGGCTAGGGGACCACATGATCAACGGTCAGATTATCTTCCCCTTCGCAGCCTATTTGTCCATCGCGGAGGAAGCTCTGCGTCAAGTCACTGGCGGCGTTTTGGAAGCATTCTCGGCAAAAGACTTCTCAGTCACTTCAGCTTTACACCTGGAACCCGGAAGTCCGGCAGAGATTCACACTAGACTCCGACGCATCGACGAGTCTTTCTTCCACGTTCAGATCACTTCCTGGAAGAACGATGTCTGGACCGAGCACTGCAGTGCCGAAGTCAGTGCTGGACCATTCCCGCTCCGTCCTCGACAGGGTATCAAGAAGAAGCAGTTCCCACGTCTTCTTTCTCCTCAATACTGGTACACCACTGTTCAGGACCGCGGCTTCACGTACGGTCCCACCTTCAGGGGTCTCGACAACATCAGTGTAAGCCCGTATTCCAGAGAGGCAACTGCCTTTGTGCATCCCATGGACGATCCATCGGATTATCTCATTCATCCCACTGCACTCGATCAATGTTTCCAGACACTAGTCACAGCGGGCTGTCATGGTCAGCATCGGAAGGCTAAATATGTTTCCATGCCCAGTTCAGTAAAGGAAATTTTCATCTCGAGAGCTACGGGGAACTTTTGGGCGACAGCAACATCAAACTCTTCACCACTTGGTGAGCTTTCTGGATCATTGCTCGCATATACGGATGATGGCAAAGAATTCATGAGCATGAGTGGCGTCCAAGGAAGTCAGATTGCTACACAAGCCGGAACCGATGAGCTGCCTCTTCTCAGTCACGCACGTTGGAATGCACATGCGAACTTCTACCCCTTTCATGAGCTACACGGCCAAGATCCTCTTGCAACTGCGATTGACATTCTCAAGCTTACAAACCCCCAGCTGCGAGTGTTGGAAGTAGGCACAGGGTCAGACACGACAACGAGGGTTCTCCTTGAGCACTTGCGACCGGAAAAGGGAAGACAGTACTTCTCCAAGTACACGTACGCAACACTGAACTCCACCGCATTGAGAGAAGCTGGGGAGGCTCTTTCAGACATCGAAGGCCTCGAACTCGGATGTCTGGACCCTTTCAGTGATGACAAGCCTTTGGATCTCGAGTCGGGTTCCTACGATATTGTCATAAGCACATCTGTAAGGGCATACTGAAGAACCAAAGATTCTAATACTGACTGTTGGTAGTCCTTCGATTTGATGGAAGATACGAAGACTTCATTTAGTCGCTTCAAGAATCTCTTACGTCCTTCGGGACTATTAGTCCTTCTGGATATCCTAAGACGTGCGTCCT